TAGATCATCAGAAGCATCTTTCGTCTTGCTGTCCTCCTTGGCAGCTCCCACGTCTTTGTCTTCCATTGGCTCTGATTAGAATTCTTTTGTTTCTAAGGGCTGGATTTCTTCTAAGTAATCCCTTCCTCATCGAGCATAAAAGACTTCTTGCTCTTAGTAGGATTGAAAATCCTCTCCTCGTCGCACATGGCTGCTTCTCGAGTGGGCTGGGCATGGACTGACAGGTAGATGGGTCAGCCCCCAGGAACCCATGGCGGATCTGCTCCAATCCGAGACCTCTCCCTGCACCAGCATCAGCGAAGGAGAAGCCTGTGGACTTTCCATAGCAGCCCCCCCCCCTTTTTTTTCTAACTCTTGCTAGAGTTATAAGCCAGTTCAGACCATCCGAAAAACAACCAAGTTCAGCAAAATCATGCTTCAACACTATAAACAGCTAAATACTAAAATGAAAATAGACACGAGACAGCTGAATAGTAATCTATAGCCATTTTGAGGTGTATAGAACCCGGTTGAATATAAACCAAAATTGAAATGTCTATGAAGAAGTCACAGGATGTAGTTAAGAACCTGCATTTTCTTGTTAATGTATCAATACCATGGTTAATCAATACCATGTCAGTTAATGCCATAAGGTAGTAAATGGTTGTTGATGTTATGTTGGGGCTTTTAATGGATTGGGATGATACTTTGCCAGCTTTACCTTCAGACGAGAGATGGTCTCACCAAGAAATCGTTGAACTCACTAGGATAATAAGACGCTGGACTTTATGCTTGGTGAATACTTCCAATAAAAGAACCTCAACTGAATTTGAACTGTGGTAATGCAACAAGGTGGAGAAATCCACCATGGGGAGAGGGTTCGGGGAGAGGTGGGCGGAATCCCAGTGCGTATAACACTGTGTCACATAATGCAATACAATTAATTTTTTCTCTAAAAAAAAGAATTTTTAAATTATATTTTGGCAATCTTTACATAATTAATTAGGGTAAAAAGGTTCAAGGGCTATAGGAAGGTGGTTAAGACTATTATTTCCATATTGTTTCCTTCATATTTAAAGGGGGGTATTAAGGTAGAAGGTCCACCCAATTTCCCACCCTCCCCAGGTCCCGGTTGTAGGATATGCTCTGAGGTTCTTGCTAGGTGGTTTTAATAGTTCATCAATTATGAATCGCTGCCAGTCTTGCTACTCCAAGCACAATGACATAGTCCATCATAGAGTCTCCGTTTGCCCCATATTTTGCTGCCAACATATAGCTGAGATGGTTGATTGACCTGTTCTGTCTTCTCTCTTTTCTTGGTTTGGGTTCTGAGTCCAGCTTTTCGATTGGGGAGAACCCCAAAGAAACTTTGCCTGAGGTGTTCTCAGACCAGTTTCTTGAATGTACCAGCAAGTACAGGGCCTGACACAGTCCATTGCCCCGATCAGCTGGTGGTTGTGATGACTGGGTTGGTTCTGTTTTCAGCCCCAACTTCCACTGGAACCAATGGGTGTTGCAGTCCAGCCTGGTTCTGCCCAGCACATACTCGGCCCTCACATAAACCAGTGGGAGCTGCAGCCTAGTTGGAGCGACCCGCAATCACCCCTACCAGGCCCTCCCCCTACCCTGGTTTGCCAGTATGTGTAGCAGTAATCCAGTCTGTCCCACACTCCATTTCACCCCAGCCCCTGTCCCAGCTCTCGTGCCCTCCTGTGGAAGTGGTAGCCCAAGAGGGAGGAGCCCACTATTCCCCTCCCAGCCCTTTCCCACTCCCAGATTATGCACTCTACAGGTAGTTCTGTGGTTTGACTTGACAAAACTAGGCCACAGTGCCAGCTTCTACCAGCTGATGCTGTGGCTAAGCCCAAACAACCCTCACCCACTCTAATTTTGTTTGCACTGGTAGGAATAATCAGCCCAGCCTGGCTTTTCCCTGATCTAGTACACCTGAGTCGTACATGTGTTGTAGCCCTGCTTAGTCTGGTCTGCCCCCATCCCAGCCCTTGCTCTCCACCAGGCGTAGCTGTCCAGCAAAGGAACCCTCCCTTATTCCCCTGCTGGCTCCACCCCTCCCTTTCTGGTTCTCATGCTGGTTGGGTTGCGTGCTGTCACATCCGGTACAGGCAACCTCACCTCGGCATTCCGTATTGGGCACTAGTTTTTGTTGTGACCGAACCTGGCTCGACCCATACTGTTCTGGTGCTTGGATTTGCCAGTGGATGACGTGGACAGATTCAGCTTGGTCTTCCCCCAACCCCTGCCAATTCTATGCCAGTGGGTAACTTTCCATGGCCTATTCTGGAATGTTTCCTGTCATGTTTCTTGCACTTACCTGCCGGGTCTGTGTCCTGCCAGAGGAGTTGCCCAGGCTCCTCCATCAGAACCTCTCCCAATGCCAGGTTTCATGCATATCAATGAGTCTATGAGCCAGCCCTACTCAGTTCACCTTCTGTCATAGCAGGAACAGTGGCTTTTCCTGACTGGCCTTCAACCCAAACCGGGCTTTGCTGTTGGATATTTCAGCCCAGCCGTGGATCGTCCATATCCACATATGGCTCACACATGGCTCAGTAGGGGTTGACACCTTCCTAGTCCATCGCACATCTACCCTGCTTCTCCAGGACACCAGAGGGTGTTGGGGCCTGGCCTGGCTCGGTGCATCCAATCCCAGTCCATACTTGTGCCAAGGGAGACTACAACCATTTCCTGTTTAGAACGCAGCCCACATTGCAGGCCACGTGCCCCTTGATGGGAACCTCTACTCGGCTAGGGTTGTCCCCTTAGCTCACCTACTGGGCCTGTTCCCAGCCATAGATCACATGCATGCCAGTGGTTGCTCTGACTCAGCTTGGCACAGCCCCTCACCTGTCCCGACCTCTGCCTTAGACACTGTGGCTTAGCATCCCTGGCTCATGCAGACCTGTAGGTGCAAGAGCCTAGCTCGGCATGACCTGTGCTCCATCCTGGTCTCTAGTTTTGCTTGTGGGCTAAGGTTTGCTCAGTCCTGCCCTGTCCACTCTGTTCCATTACCAATTGACACATTTGCCAGCTGTTGGAGCTACTTTTCCCAGCTTGTCCAACCCCCAGGTCTGGACCACATGTTCACCAGTGGGAGCATCGTACCCCTTACGCTGCTAGGTCAAGGATGCTATTGCTTGCTGTGTGGAAAAAAGAGAAACTTTACAATACTAAGAGCTGTGTGGAACGGGAAAGAGGACTTGGAGAGGATGACAAAGATGAAGCTGCCAAGGTTGAAGGATCAGCAGACATCAGATATCCTGCTTCTGCAAGGATGCTACTGAGTGCGGATCTGCCACTTGTCTTGAACTGGAATTGGCAGCCTAGAAGAACTGCTTCCTGTGATGGCTCATTGTGAACCCAAAGATTTCATTCAGATTTTTCCATCTGTGGTGTCTTTAGTGCTATTATACATATCCCTGGAAATGTTGTAACCCAAAAAATGCATGTGGATCAGAAGGACACAATGAGAACTGTGGTTTTAGACATCTTTGACAAATATGAGGTCATACATTTTTAAAACTTGCCAATATTATAAAAATATTTTTTGTGTGATTACAAATCATTTTTGTTTTCCATGAACATGACAAGATTTCTGAAAGTTGAGTTTCTAATTTGGATGTAAGTAGGATATTATGTTCCCTGTTTTCCTCATATAGGTCTTTGTTCCCAAGGCCCAGGCTTAGCCGGTTGTAACAGAATGTGCATATTTATAGAAGAATAAGCTTGTTTTACAGCTAAAGTATGTTAGCCTAATTTTATGTGACAAAAGAAAAATGTGTCCAGTGATATCTTTTGTAGGCCTAGAAAATTATAGTTGCTTTTAAAAACTAAGTATTAGTATAGCTGAATTTTTTTTTTTTTTTTTAACTGCAAACACGGATTTACAGAGAGCATGAGAGACAGAGGTCATCCAGGGCCCGGCATTACAGCCTACCACCTAAAGTCCTCACCTTGCAGGCTCCAGGATTCTGTTTCGGTGCTGGTTCTATTCTCAGTAGGCCTGCTTCCCATCCAGCTCCCTGCTTGTGGCCTGGGAAAGCAGTCGAGGATGGTCCAAAGCTTTGCGACCCTGCACCCGTGTGGGAGACCTGGAAGAAGCTCCTGGCTCCTGGCTTTGGATCAGCGCTGCTCTGGCCATTGCATCCACTTGGGGAGTGAATCAGCAGATGGAATATCTTTCTCTGTGTCTCTCCTCCTATCTGTATATCTGACTTTCCAATAAAAAAAAATTAAAAGTAAATCTTAAATAACATGTCTTTCCCCATTGGTTTGCTCCCCAAGTGACTGCAATGGCTGAAGCTGAGGCCATCTGAAGCCAGGAACTTCTTCCTGGTCTCCTGCATGGGAGCAGAGACCCTAGGCTTTGGCCCGTCCTCCCCTGTTTGCGAAGGCCGCTTAGCAGGGAGCTGGATGGAAGGTGGAGCAGCCAGGGCGGGCTTTGGCGCCCAAATTACCATAGATGCTGGCGCTGCAGGCTGAGGCTTAGTTTGCCCCTCCACTGTGCTAACCACTCAGCATTTTCCCCTTTATGTTGTCATTTTTCTCTCTTACGGTTTAGTTCAAAACATCATTGTTTTAAAAGCACTCAAAAGTTGAAGTGTAACTTGCTTGTAACTGGAGCAAATACAGTGTTGTATCTAGAAAAGAAACCGAAAGGACCCTTTAACCCCAGAAGTCATACTGAAGTTTAAGTAAGTAAAAAATGGCATAGAGATAGAGTATATGCAAATTTTTCTCAATAATACAGTAATAATACTGTGCTGCTAATTGAAAACATGCTGCTGGAACTCTGATACGTATGTGCTTACTCCAGATGAAAGATGGGCTCTTCGGAGACCCCGGTGTGTTTGACATTGCTTGTGAAATTAAGGTCAAGTAAAGATGTCTTGGGAGTCCTGAATGAGTGAGTTACTCAGGCTTCAGATTGAATGTTAAGTTTGATTTTCAATATTTTAGGTGACGCAGTTCATCTTCCCTGTTTGTGTATCTGAGGGACTGAGAGAGGTTGGTACTGTTGCACAACTCAGTACATTTTTCTGAAGAGATACCTGCGGCTTTTCAGGGACTGAAACATTAGGTAGTGGATAACGTTTTATTTCCTAGGACACAAGTCATATTATTGTGAGCAGTGAGACTTTTAAAATGTTTATAGACCCAACAGTCTTATTGTTCCCAGAAAAAGTTTGTGAAGACTTCTTTTTGTATTCCAGAGTAGAAATTCCAGTTATCATAGTTTTCATAATTTGACTTTTTTACTTTCAGCTTGATTTCAACTCTCGAAAATACCGTTATTTTGTATACTGGAACGGCAAACTATTTTAATATTGAAGTAATTATGTACGGTTAGATATTCAGTTACAGACCTGTTATAAAATGAAGTTTTAGTCCCAGTGGGTTTTTGATTAGTCACGTTAATATCCTCTGTTGTTTTAGTGTGGATGAGTAAGGGTTTTTAATGTTTATCTTTACTTTTGAAGATACAGTTCCATAGGCTCAGGGATTTCCCCTTCAGCCCTCCCTGTTCCTCCCTCAAATGTATCATGATACAGTAGGTGTAGACAATGGTAGTCCAGCATGCATTTGTCAAGATATATTTAGCAGTTTCATTGGGAGACCACCTATTATTCAAGAATGGAGATGCATACTGCCCTGTATCTTCACTTCTTGGTATGTCAGTCTCTACATTTGCTCTACATCAATTAAATGTATATGTTCGTTTACCTCTATGTCTGTCGATCTTGCCTTTTGCATGAAGATTGCCCTTTGTCAGGGAGAACATATGATATTTGTCCTTTTGGGATTGGCTTATTTCAGTGAACATAAAGGTCTCTAGTTGGACCATTTTTTGCAAACGGTAGAATTCCATTCTTTTTTAATGGTTGAGTAGTATTCCATGGAGCAGATGTACCACAGTTTCTTCATTCACTCCTCTTTTGACCGGCATCTGGGTTGTTTCCATGTCTTTGCTACTGCAGATTGGGCTGTTGTAAATACAGGATTTCAGGTCTCTTTCTCATATGCAAAATTCATTTCCTTTGGATATATTCCCAGAAGTGGGATAGCTGGGTCCTATATTTTACCAATTTTCAGTAGTCTTAACACTCTGCATACTCACTTTCTTACTGGCTGTACTATCCCATACCCTCACCAACAGTGAAAGAGGTTGCCTTTCTCCTCACATTCACACTAGCAGGTGGTGTTAGTGGAATTCTGAAAACTAGTCTCAATGGATGTAGATGGAATCTCAGTGTGGTTTTTATACCTAGGGAGCCTGAACATTTTAAAATAAAATATGTGTATTAGCCATTTGGATCTGATCTTTTGAAAAACGCTCATTTTTCCTTTGCCCATTTCTTCACAGGTTTTTTTTTTTTTTTTTTTTTAAGTTTTGTTTACTTATATTGGAAAGTCGATGTACAGATAGGAGGAGAGACAGAGAGGAATGTCTTCCATCCGTTGATTTACTCCCCAAGTGGCCGCCAAGCCAGAGCTGAGCTGATCTGAAGGCAGGAGCTGGGAGCTTCTTCTGGGTCTCCCACATGGGTGCAGGGTACCTGCTTCCCAGGATCACAGCACATACAAGGCTAGGACTTAAGCCACTAGGCTACCACATCAGGCCCCACAGTGTTGTTTTCTGTTTAGTTTCTGAAGCTCTTTGTACATCCTGGACATTGCACATTACAAAACAAATAAGGGACCAAAGATACTCTGCCATTTTGTTGGTTGCTTCTTCACATTATTTCCTTTGCTGTACAGACGCTTCTTGGTTTGACATAGTCTCGTTTGTTTATTTTGGCTTTGACTACCTGTGCTTTTGGTGACTTTTCTAAGAAGTCTATACCAAGGCCTGGGGTATTACAGAGTGTTTCCTATGCTTTCCTCTAATAGTTTGATGGTTTCTGGGTGCAGATTTAGGTCTTTGATGCACTTACAGTCTGATTTTTGCGTAAGGTGAGGTGGATCTTTTTAGTTTTGCAGGCTGCTGTCCAATTGCCCCAATAGCATTTATTGAAGAGACCAACCTTGACCTGGATATTTTTAGTTCTGTGATCAAAGATCAATTGGTGGGCTCAGGCATAGCCTAGCAGCTAAAGTCCTTGCCTTGTATGCACCAAGGATCCCATATGGCTGCTGGTTCTAATCCCAGTGTTCCCACTTCCCATTTAGCTGCCCGCTTGTGGCCTGGGAAAGCAGTCAAGGACGGCCCACATCCTTGGGACCCTGCACCCGCATGGGAGCCCCAGAAGAGACTCCTGGCTCATGGCTTCGGACCAGCTCAGCTTCGGCCATTTAGGTTGCTTGGAGAGTAAATGTACAGAAGATCTTCTCTGTCTCTCCTCATCTCTCTATATCTGACTTTCCAAAAATTTTTTTAAAAATAAAAATTAAATTAAAAGACACATACCCTTATTTAAAAAAAAAAATCAGTTGGTGTACACGTGTGGGCTCCCTCCTTGGATTTCTGTTCTGTTGCATTGATCTTCCCTGTTTCTGTACCAGTACCAGCCTGTTTTGATGACCACTGCTCCAAAGTATGTCTTGAGGTCTGGAATTGTGATTCCTCCAGCTTGAGTTTTATCCTTCAAGATGGCTTTCACTACTAATGGAACCTTGTGTTTGCACATGAACTCTTGTCGTCTTTTCTATTTCTCAGAAGAATGTTGTTGGGATTTTGAATAGGATTGTGTCAAATCTGTATAGTTTTAGTATTATGGACGTTTTGATGATGTTGATCCTGCTGATCCAGGAATGTGATAAATTGCTCCATCTTTTAATGTCTTTTTCTATTCCTTTTTTAAATGCTTTGTAATTTTTGTCGTGGAAGTCTTTATATCTTCAGTTAGATCTATCTCTGCTATCTTAAAGGGGACTGTACTTAAGAATTCTTTCTCAGGCATGGAGTTACTTGTGTATACTAGCGCCGTTGATGTATGTTCAGTTTGTAGCCAGACTCTTATGAGTTGCAACAGTCTCTTGACTGACTCTCTGGTTCTCCTATGTGTAGAATCATGTCATCTGTAAACAGGGATATTTGAATTCCTCACTACCAATTTAAATTCTTTTAATTCCCTTTCCCTTGCTTAGTAGCTCTAGCTGATATCCTCTGTCCTTTTAGTGTGGATCAGCAAGGTTTGATTGTGTGATTTGGATATATTTAATGCCTGTCTTTATTCCCATGACCCACCTTGGTGTAGTGGTTGATTGTTAAAGATTGAAAAGTCTATGGTGTTTTTCTTTTTTGAAGTTAGTCTTCAAAGTAGAAATTCATGTTACTAATGAATCAGCATTTTTCTTATTGAATGGATAAAAAATGAAATATATGGTAGTAGACACTCCTTGTCTCCTCTCTTACCCTGCCTTTTTATGTTGTGACTTCTAAACTAAAGGGTGTAATGGAAGTGTTTGAATCCTCTGAACTGCATGCAAAATTTCATTTGCTCTGTTGCATTTGTTTTCTGGAGAGACTATCCATGGATGTTACTAAGTTTTTAAGAGACTGTAAAGAACTGAACTGGACATTGAGCAGAGATGTGAGATGCTTGCCTAGGGTGCCTGTATCCATGTCAGTGCCTGGGTTCTGCTCCTGGGTATGCTTCCAATTCCAGTGTTCTTCTGTGACCCATAGCAGTAGAGATGGTTCATCACACGGTTCCTGCCAACACATGGGGGGCCTCATTGAGTCTGGCCTCCTTTTACCTGACTCAGCCCCAGCTGTTGGAGACATTTAGGGAGTTATTCAACAGATGGAAAATCTGTCTTTGCCTCTTTTTCTGTCTCTGCCTTTTGAAATGAACTGAAATTAAATAAAGTCTGTAACTGGAAAAACTAAAGGAGACAGAACACACATCTAGCTATAATTTGGTTCCATAAGTGTTATATTAAAAAAAATCTTTGGGAGATTAGAATGGAATAAACATTGAAGGCCTACATGGGACTCAATTGAGACAGGCATTTGGAGCCAAGCTGCTGCATGTGTTTGCATGTTTCCTGAAGTTCCTTAAGGTGTTGTTTTCAAGCTTTAGACCCTGGTTATTCAGACAGACACTTCATATGATTTCACGTCTTCAATTTGCGAGGGCTTTATGGTCTTTCATGTGGTTTATCTTGGAGAAGCTTCCATGAACTGATGAAAAGAATGTGTGTTCTTTGTGGGATGAAGTGTTCTGTAGATATTGATTAGGTCCGTTTGGTTCATGGTATTGGTAAGCTTGGTTGGTTGATAGTTTTCTGACCATTAGGCTTGCCCATTGATGATAGTGAAGTGTTGAGACCCCCCACTATTACTGTATTGGCGTGTATGGCTCCTTTTAGATCCATTCAATTGTTTCAAATATCCAGGTGCTCTAGCATTGAGTGCGTATACATTTGCTATAATCATTACTTCTTGTTGAATTGATTCCTTGGTCATCACGTAATATCTCTTTGAGTAGTATTTGTGGTAAAGTCTGTTCAGTCTGATGTTAGATTGGCTATACCCATTTGTTTTTCCTTTCCACTTACATGCATTTTTAGTCTGTGCCTTTCTTGGTGAGATATGTTTCCTGTAGGCAGCAGATAGATGGATCTTGTTTGTTGATCAAATCAGTATGCCTTTTGATTGGAGAGTTTAGACTAGGCTATCTTTGATAAAGATTATTATTGAAAAACATTGTTGAGAGGCAGTAACTTGGTCGTACATTTTAACAAAAGATTTCCTTGTTTGGTTTACGTTTGCATTTAGCTTTGCCGGGAAGTTTTGCGTTGGCTATAGTTCTCTCTTGCTGTGTGTGGTATATCATGAAGTACCATTGGAAGGCTGGTCAGGTGATGGGAAATTGTTTTGATTTCTTTTGGAAAGTATTTTGCTTGGACATAAAATTCTGGATTTGCAGTTTCTTTATTTTAGAACTTGAATTATGTCTCTCCATTCTCTAACCTGTAAGGTTTTTGGTGAGATGTCAGTTATACGTTTGACTGGAGATCCTCCCAAGGTCATCAGTGATTTCTCACGTGTGTTGAAGAATTGTTTGTTTGACTGTGGAAAGTTTGACTGTGAGGTGTCATGGTGAGGATGAAGTTCGTTTGGAGTTCTCTGTGCTTTCTGTATTTGGATCCCACTTTCTCTATCCATAGCAGGGAACCTTTCAGTATTTTTCACTGAGCAGGCCTTCTAACCCAATCTGTCCTTGTGTGCTTTCAGGAGCTTCTAAGACACATGTTTGGTTGTTTGATATCACATAATTCCTGAACATTTTGCTTTGTTTTACTCAATTATTGTAATTTTTTTTTCGCATGGCTGTGAGGTTTTTTTTTTTTTTTTCCCCCCAAGAATCATCTTGTAGCTTAGAAATTCTTCTGACTTGCCAACTTTGTTGTTAAGGTTTTCCACTATTTTTTTATTTGGCACAATGAATTTTTTGTTTCTCATATTTTAGTTTTGTTTTCCTTCAGTATTCCAGTCTTATGTGAAAATCATTTATTATATGGATTTTCTTTTTTTCTTTTTAAAGACTTACTTATTTTTATTGAAAGACAGATTTACAGAGAGGAGAAACAGAAAGTTCTTCCATCCTCTGGCTCATTCTGCAAGTGGCTGCAATGGCTGGAGCTGTGCCAATTCAAGGCCAGGAGCCCATATCCTCTTCTTGGTCTCCCATGCGGGTGCAGGGTCCCAAGGCTTTTGGGCCATGCTCTGCTTTCCTAGGTCACAAACAAGGGACTGGATGGGAAGTGGATCATCCAGGACACCAGCCAGTGCCCACATGAGCTGTTGGCATGTGCAGGATGAGGATTTAGCCGCTAGGCTACTGTGCTGTGCCTTATTTGGATTTTCTTAAGTTTTGCATCTGCTTCTCATTATTTTTGAATAGCCTATTTAATTCTTTTTCAGATGGTTCCTTAATATCTTCATCTTCACCTTTTAAAAGCAAAGTGTGTATTCGTTTGGGTTAGTCATGTAACCTTTGTTTATATTGCTCAATGATCCTGTTTACTGTTGGGCATCTCAATTCTGATTTATGGGTTTTTTTGTTTTGTGTTTTTCTTTGGAAGTTTGCCTTTGTTTTCAAGCTTTGTGTCTCTGTGGTTTAATGGAGCAGCTGTTCTTTTTTTTTTTTTTTTAAATTGTAATCTGGGGTATGTGCTGGAAGTGAGCCATGTACTCTGATCAGTGTTCAAGCACGAGGTGAGAGTCCAGGGTGATACCCAGGTTGGTCTTGATGGATTGTGTCTTTGGCCCTCACAGAGGAGGTAGTGATCATGACTGTGAGTGTAAGTGCCCTTTGGCTCTCCCAAGGTGGTTGACATCCCCGGGGATGTGGTGGCAGCTCTTAGGCCCAGCCGTGCCAGCATCAGTACCACACAAGGGATCTGTGCAGTTCTCTGTGTGCCCTGAGCTGCAGCTGTCTGCTGTCCTCAGTCATGCTGTCACAGAATTCCCTAGGTGCCGCTGGGGCTCTGCTCCGTTCCATGAGGCTGCTCCAGCTATGCAGGAGAGGCCTTTCCTTGCCTCTGTGTTTTTCTGTGCTGTGAGTTCTCTGTGTTCTTACACCTCAGGTCTGTGGGTGGGCTTCTTAGTTACTGATTATTGCAAGGTTCTCTGCTCATTCTCTGGTGTAGACTTTTTAAAATTTATTTTATTGGAAAGTCAGATATACAGAGAGGAGGAGAGACAGAGGGGAAGATCTTCTGTCTGATGATTCACTTCCAAGTGAGCACAACGGCCGATGCTATGCCGATCCGAAGGCAGGATCCAGGAACTTCTTCCGGGTATCCCACACGGGTGCAGGGTCCCAAAGCTTTGTGCCGTCCTCGACTGCTTTCCCAGGCCACAAGCAGGGAGCTGGATGGGAAGTGGAGCTGCTGGGATTAGAACTGGCGTCCATCTGGGATCCCGGGGCGCGTTCAAGGCAAGGACTTTAGCTGCTGGGCCATGCTGCCGGACCCTAATGAAGACTCTTAGTGAAGCCAGTTGAGAACATGGACCCTTTTTTTTTCTTGCCAGAACCTGTGAGATGTTAGTTTAGTGAATAACACAGACTACTTATTATTATGATTATTTTATGGAATTTACAAGATGGTATGTCTGTGGGGAACATGGATATTCTTTCCTGAGTGGACCAGTGAAATGTGTCTGTGATATAAGATCAGGCAGTTGGGCTATGGAAAGCCAAGTGTGCATTCTTGCCAAGCCAGTGCACACAGGTCAGGGGATTTTGTGATCCCGGTGTGAAGTCTTGACTGTTTGAAACCAGTCCCCGCCAAGATGGCACCTACTGGCTGCTGGTTCAGTTGCTCTGCAGGGGGAAGGGAATCAAAACACTCCCCTCCACACCCCTCCGCATCCTTGTCCTGGATCTCACTTCTCCATCTCAGCTTGCTTTTGAACATGGGATCAGCTACTCCTGCAGCTTCTTGTCCAGGAACGTCACCCACTGCTCTGGTGGCTGTTCCTGCTACCTTTCTGCAGGAGAACTCCAGTTGCCAGTAGCACATCCAGCCAGTGTCATACTGTCCAGCTGTGTATGCCATTTCACAGTGTCTCTGCATCCTCTGCAGCTTCTCCATCGCCGAGCTCCCTGCACCTGTCACCTGGGGTCGTGCTCCATCGGCCTCTTCCTCACTAATCCTTCCGTGCCAGAATTAGCAGGTCTTTGCCCTGTTCGGCCATCTTGGACTTCCGCTTAACTCTGTACCTACCAGAATTTATTTTGGCTGTGAGTGCCTATCAACAAAATGCAGTGGGCTATTTTTTCTATCTCATAAAAAATAGAGGCAGTTCAGGGGTTGTTAACTGTGATTACACAGTCGTCTTTGAGCTCATCCTTCTGCTCCTGTATGCAAGAGGGCTGCTCTTGGTGTAGTGTGTATGTTCTAGGCAGCAGGAAGTAGAAATAGAAAAAGAAGGGATGTTTCTCCATCTGTTGAAGGACTAGGGACCTGTACACATCACTCTGCTTACATCCTGTGTTAACACGTAACACAGCGAAGCCTAAATCCAAAGGAGTAGGAAAAATATGTGTGGAAAAAATGAGAATTCCTCACTTGATAGAAGAAGAAAGGAATTTTTATCAGCTCATAACTTTAGTTTCTAATGTTCTGCATTCTTGGCCCTTTATTAGTTTAGAAAAATAGGAATTAAATAGCTTTATGTCTGAATTTTTTCTCTAAATGTAGATCTAATCTTTTTTTTTTTTTAAGATTTATTTTTTATTGGAAAGGCGGATATACAGAGAGAAGAGACAGAGAGGAAGATCTTCTATCTGATGGTTCACTCCCCAAGTGAGCGCAATGGCTGGAGCCTAGCCAACCCGAAGCCAGGAACCTCTTCTGGGTCTCCCACGAGGGTGCAGGGTCCCAAAGTCTTGGGCCATCCTCGACTGCATTCCCAGGCCACAGGCAGGGAGCTGGATGGGAATTGGAGCTGCCGAGATTAAAATGCCCATATGGGATCCCGGGCATGTAAGGCAAGGACCTTAGCCGCTATGCTATTGTGCTGGGCCCTGTAAATCTATATTAAAATGTAAATTATAGCAAATGACTGAATATTACAAATATTAAATGTGGTGGAGGGCCCCGGTGTGGTAGCCTAGCAGCTAAAGTCCTCATCTTGCATGTGCCAGGATTCCATATAGGCTTCGATTCTAACCCCTGCAGCCCCACTTCCTATGCAGCTCCCTTCGTTCTTGTGGCCTGGGAAAGCAGTTGAGGACGGCCCAAAACCTTAAGACCCTGCACACGCATGGGAGACCCGGAAGAGCTTCTGGATCAGCTCAGCTGTGGCTGTTGTGGACACTTGAGGAGTTAATCAGCAGATGAAGCTCTTCCTCTCTCTCGGTATATCTGACTTTCCAATAAAAAGAAATATTTTAAAAAATATAGTGGAGGAAGAAATGTCTTTCTGGCTGATAAATATTTAACCCAATATTAAAATAATTGCTGTAAATTTTTTTTAGCAACTGATAATATTAAATCTTGGTTAGAATGAATTCTAATTTGGGAAATAAAGTGAAAAACCACAATTATTTCAGTTCACTGAAAATTAACTGGTATGTTAAGTGGCTGAGTTAATCTTGTATACACTATAGTTTGTTTTTTTTTTAATTTGATTCTTCACAGTAGAGCATGAATAGACTGTATTGTTTAACATAATTATTCTCATTAACAGTGACTTAGTTTTCAAGCCCAGTGTGTGACACTGTGATAATTGTTTTTTTTTCCTCTGTAGGCAAGAGGTTTGATAGCTGTAGGATTGGGCGTTGCAGCTGCTGCATTTGCAGGTAAGAGGCATAAAGAATATGTCAATACATGTTGAACAAATGTTTCCAAACAGCCTCTGTACTGACTCATGAATAGATTCTTCGCTTTCTGAGGATTTTGATTTTCTGGCGTTATTCCCTGTCATGCTCTCCAGCACTTAGAGTTACTAAACACTTGTTGTGATGCAAAATCTAAATACAGTGAAGAAAAACTAACGATTCAGAAACTAGGAAAATCAGCCCCCAGAGTAGTTGACCTTACTGGAATATTTTTTTCCAGTTTGACCTATAGCGTACTCTAAAATAAAGGATACTTAATATGAAGCAGTATAATTGATAGAATGCCTTTATTTTCCCATGTTTTTAAATGTAATTACATTGACACATTTTGGGGCAGTCCAAGACATGAGGAATAATTAATGTCATTTTACTTTACCTCCATTGAAAGCATTCCTAGGTTCTATATTCCACAAATATCATTTGTCAGCTGATGATTGATTTTTTACAATAATTAGTATCTTGAGTACCTTTTAAACAAAGTGATTTTTTTTCTGCAGCTTATTTTTTTGTTTGTTTGTTTTTTACTTTTTTTTTTTTATTACATTGCATTATGTGAGACAGTTTTAGGCACTGGGATTCCCCCTCCCCCTCCCCCAACCCTTCCCCCATGGTGGATTCCTCCACCTTGTGCAGCTTATTGTTGAAAGAGTACTAAGATGGTATTTTTGTCATCTATAACATGAATATATTATACACAAATATTACAAATTTACAAGTATACACTAATGAGCGAATATTGATGCATTTGTTTTCTAGAGTGGTACTAAAAGTGAAATTCTATCCTGCTCAATAAATTTTTACAAATAAAGTTTTCTTGAGAATATTGAAGTATTGATTGCCACAGTGTATATAAGCTATCAAAAAAAAATACTGTGCTAAACATCTTGAAGTTGTTGACTTGGATTATGAGACATGTTTGCTTTTATTCATTTTACCACTTAGGTCGCTACGCATTTCAGATCTGGAAACCTTTAGAACAAGTATTCACAGAAACAGCAAGGAAGATTTCAACTCCGGTGAGTGAAATACGGCTTCACTTAGAAAACTCATGTTGATTTTTACCTGTACGTTGTATTAAAAGCAACCCAGTAAATGGGCTAGATTTTTCCGGAATATATCAGAGTTAACTTCCTGCATTGTGCCATTGCTGAGTCTGTCCAATTGATTTCATTTAAGTTTTTTTAAATATCCATTCCTTGTTTTAATGTCAGATTATTATGCTTAGGTTAGTACTGTTACATCAGCTTCTAGATAATTTATTTTGATTTGTGTGTAGTATATCAGCCTCTGCCAGAATCGCTGATGAACAAAATAGAAATGATTTTTACCTTCATGGTGCTGACTCGAGAATTTATTTGATCTTGAAATCCTAAGCTAGCCTACCTGCACCACGACACCTGGCCGTCTCAGAGTAAGATTCCAGCCATGGAATCCTGCTGGGCTTTACTATCTAGCAGCACTGTGGCTGCACGGGTGAGCTGCATGCAAGGGAAGAGTGAAAGGATTATCTAAGCATGTACAGTGTGAATTGTGGTTTGTGACCACTGCAGACAATACAAAGAAAACTCACAACAGCACTGCAGCATGACTGACTTCCAAGAAACAGTAGCAGACTGGGACAGAACAGCTTGGCTTACAGCAATTTGAGAATGAATGGCAATGCAGTATTTATTTCATAAACAAGAAGTTAATTCGGAATGTTAGTGGATGGTGGAACTAAAAGATATTTATTTTAGTGAAAAAAATTTTTGAAGTATATAAATGAGGAATCAAAATTTGAGAAGCCAGTGTTGCGCTACAGTAAGTTAAACTACTTTAACTGGAACACCAGCATCCCAGAGCCTGTTGAGAGACATGGGTTTATTTTATTCATGGCATAAGTGACTGATGGTGGTGCCTAGGTTGGTGATCTGCAGCCGTTGTCATAGTGCACCACATTAAATAGCAAGAAGTAAAGCAGCAAGCGTAATTGAGGCAAATCATGATGGGTAAAGCAGCCTGTTGTAGTCCCCAGAAAGAAGGCGGTCAGTCCGAGGACACAGCTTGAGATCTGCACCTTGGCATGGGAGGCTGTCCCGGAGACTGCTGCTCTTCACACACAGCTCACCCCTCTCCGAATACACTCCCTAGAGGGAACACTTTGTATTCAGAGTTGTGTGCCTTCCCCACATCGCTGCGCAGAGTTGTGGACTAGAGAGAGCCAAAATAGAAGCTGTGTGAAGCAGCCAGTGTATTGAGATAGTGACAGCTGATGGTGGCTTGAACCAGAGTAATCGTTACGCACACAGTGACACGGTTCTTTGAAGGAACTTCCCATGTGTTTGTAAAGAATAAGTGGGGAGAATTTCAGAAGTCATTTCTCTTGTGCTGATCTTTAGTAGATATGTGTATTATAGATACCTTAAAGAGAAAACTCCCAAACTTTGTGGCCTACATAATTTAACATTGTAAAGAAAGAATGAGATGAGACAATTTACTCTGTCAGGTAGTCTCATAGAAGCAAGAGGGTAGTTCAAAGAACAGTAAAGTCTGCATTTTGTTGTGAAAACAGGGACAACAAAAAGTACATCTCCTCGCCCCTGTCCTTGGGGCCTTGAATAAGAAAGCTACTTTTGATAAATCTGCCTTTTTCATTATATGGTGATGTCTTCTTCATGACAATTATACCTCAGTGAAGATTTACTTTCTAAAAACAATTAAATATTAATCACTCCTGGGAAACTGAGAAATGAAATTGTGCATACTTTGTCTCAATACTGCTGAATCCCAAACATGGAATTTACAGTGTTTGATTTTCTAAATATTATTAAGCTGTTTAGTTACTGACAAAAAGTCTATAGTAACTGTAATCATGTGTCGGTAAATTTTTGTCATTCAGGGAGAAAAAGTTCAAGGCTGAAATCCCAGTTATAAGGTTCCTTTACACTCTGCACTGACTTTCAAATCGAGAGAAAAAGAGGGCGAACTCTTTCATTCGCTGGTTCCTTCCCAGATGTCTACAACACTGGAAACTGGAGCTCCTTTCTGCTCTCCCCTGTGGGTAAAGAGGCCCACGCACCTAGGCCACCCTCGCTGCTCTCCCTAGGCGCATTAGCGGGGAGCTGGCCCTCGAGCTGGCACCCTTATGGAATGCTGGCTTTGCAAGCAGTGGCTTTGCTTGCAGCAGCACATACTAATTCCTATTCTTTATTATGTTTTTGGTTTTTTCTTTTTTTCCCCCTAGAGGAGATTTTGTGTAGGTGTTTTGGGGTTTAGTTTTTTTTAAGAAAGAGTGACAGGAAGAGAAATTGATCATCCATCTGTTGGTGCCTGCCCCAGATAGCTGCAGTGGCCTAGACTGAGGCCTAAAACAGGGAGTCAGAACTCTGTCTGGTCTCCCACATGGGGGTGGCAGGGGCCTAGGGACTTAGGCTGTTCTCTACTGCTTCCCAGACACTTAGCAAGGAGCTGGATTAGAAATGAAGCAGCTGGGATGGAAACTGGCGTACCATTTGGAATGCTGCTGTCCTAAGTGGTGGATTAACCCGCGACATCGCAGTGCTAACCTGTGAGGCTTTACCACTGTGTTCATCTTTCTCATACTGGTTTTGTGTTTTCTCATTTTGTGGACTGCTGCCTGTTTTTTTCATTTGGAATGCATGGGTGGTAAATAGTTTAAATTTTTCTCTGTTTCTTTATGTTCTCACTGTTAGCTACCAATTAGCAGCTAACTCCTGATGAGGAGGACTTTGACCTGCTCATTCTCAGGAACTGCATGCCAGCTTTCCTGCATTTCCACACTCGCAAACACTGCCAACCTTATTCTGTTGGAGGCAGCTGCTTCTGGCTTTCTAAACCATAGGAACTGCGTTGTTTTTCTTTTCTTTCTTTGAGGGGAGGGGTTCTCTTGATTATAGGTGTTTCGAAAATTTTTCTTATACTCTTACATGATATAGCTTTGTAGTATATAGAGTTTCCTCTCCCCTTCTTCTCTCCCTAAATTAACTGTTCCTCGCCCTGCCTGCCATGTTAGTAACACTCCTGTCACAGTATGGTCTGTTAGTAACAGTTACAAGTTTTAACCCTGCTGTTTGTGTCATTGCACTGTAGATGTAGGCAAAGTTAGAACATCTAGCATCATACTGCCAAGTATACTTAACTGTTTTGTTGTAAGTCCTCTCTTTATTCAGAAGTAGAAACACGTACTACAGTGTATCTTTGCTTTTCAGTTGGCTAATCTCCATTATACAGTTCCTCTATGACAATACGTACTTGATTACCCATATGCTTGTTCTGTCCTTTCATGAAGGCTGTCATATCAGAGAGAACATACAGAATTTGTCTTTTGGGGACTGGCTTACTTCACTAAGCATGATGATATTTAGTTGGGATATTTTGTGACACATGGTAGAAGTTCATTTTTTTTAGGTTGTATATTTTAAGTTGAAGGGCAGAGACAAAGATATCCATGTAATGATGCACCTCCAAAATGCCTGCAAAAGCTAGGGATAGGCCAGTTGGAACCAGGAGCCCAGAACTTGGTCTGATAACCCATCTAGGTGGCAGGGACGCAGCTGCTGGAGCCGTCATCTCCTGCCTCCCAGGGAGCTAACAGAATATTGGAATGGGAGTTAGCCAGGTCTTGAACACAGACATTCCAGCGAATGATGTGGATACGCCAAGTGACATTTTTATGGCGTGCCAAATACCCACCTGGCAGATGGCCTTAGTGAGCTATAACCCATTAAAAATTATCTTTTTTATTGTGTATAATTTTTCTTACATATTTGATTCTTTCATAGTCTCTCTAAATGCAAAAAAAAAAAACCCCAAAAATACAGTGTTAAGTGGCTGTATAAAGCTTAGTACACACTGTACTATTATACTTTTGTAAGCATCTCCTGTTGGTATTGTGCGCTGAGTACAGATGTCGCACAAAATCCACTAGCTTTGTGATGCTCACCATCCCATAAGAGCAGCTTGCCTCTACGAAGTTGCTATTACAGCAAGAAGTGATCTCTCAAAGTTGGAACATATGACATAAAATGTGGAGTGGCATCAGTAAGGCTTCTAGTCAAACGGAAGGCTGTTACGTTTCTTGGAAGTTAGATGAGGATTTAGGTGAGGGTGCTTAGGGCTGTGCTCCCTTAACCCTCATATTATGTAGGCATCAACTTTTTTTTTTTAAAGATTTATTTTTATTATTTTTTTTATTGGAAAGGTGGATATACAGAGAGGAGAGACAGAGAGGAAGATCTTCCGTCCGATGATTCACTCCCCAACTGAGCGCAATGGCCGATGCTATGCCGGTCCGAAGCCAGGAGACTCTTCCAGGTCTCCCACACGGGTGCAGGGTCCCAAAGCTTTGGGCCGTCCTCGACTGCTTTCCCGGGCCACAGGCAGGGAGCTGGAAGGGAAGCGGGGCTGCCGGGATAGAACTGGCGCCCATATGGGATCCCGGGCGTGCAAGGCCAGGACCTTAACCACTGCGCCACCGCGCCGGGCCCTGTAGGCATCAACTTTAAATATTCTTGGCTTTCCTCCTGCTTTGGTGGATTTGCAACAGCTCAACTAAGTGGGGAAGTTGACTGTGAGAGAATTGTGAACACCTTAGGTATGTTGAGAGAATCATGTCTTTTACAAGAAGCCCAAATATCGGGGGTCCTCCCGTCCCGCGGAAGAAATCACCCGACACTTGAGAGAGTCTCCAAGGCGCTTTTTATTCTGCTCCTCCGTCCCGTCGTGACCGTTGTCCGTTGACCGTTATCACCGTTATATCCGTTACGCTCCAGCCCCTCCCCCGCCAAGCCCCCCGCTTAACTGTCAAACTTGACCAATCAACTTAAAGAGAACCAAGGCACACCAATCAGGGCAAAGGGCCAATCACAGGGCAGGAAATGGTCAGTGCCCCCAACAGCTCCCCCTTCTTGTTTTATTAAGCAAGGGACCGTGCCTGTCTTAGGTGTTCCGAGTTCAGGCTCCCCTTACCCATCATGGGCTAACCACGTGGCTAGGAACGTGGCACCTGTCTTAGGTT